AATATAAGTTCACTTACCCACTATTACATTGAAAAACCCATCCCAGTTACAGCTGTGCCATCAAGTTGACATGCAGTTCTTCCCAGTGAATGCCATTGGCACTATGGCACACTTCTCAGATCCACCCACCAGAAGGGCCCATTTCTTCTGTTGAATTCTCCCACACAGACGTGGATTCCATGTAGACCCTGTAGCTACGAATGCTTTATTTACTTTTTGTACTGTTTTGTTTTTATTTTCTGCACCCCATTTGTATGTTATGTGGGAATACACATCACCTATATTGCAAAATTTTCCGTGTGTTTTGGTTTTGCTATCTAGTTATATTGCTTTACACAGGTATGTTGCTGCCACTGCCATCCTGCCGTAATCTTTTCTTCAAAATTTTATTGTAAATTTGAGTTATTTGCCTCATTTATTATTGCATTCACCCTTTTAAAACTCATTTCTCATCCTTGGAACTCTTTTCACATTTTTATCCTTTATTCTCAAATCTCTGAATCTGATCTGAGCCTCAGGCTCCTGAGCTGACACTAGCATCAACTTCGGCTAATCTCTTTACCTCCATTTTGTGCCTTTTATTAACTTAATATTGTCATTTGAGGTATAATAGTCTCCCCTTACTGGTGGGAGATAATGCTCAAGACGCCTTAGAGCTCAGATAGTACCAAAGTCTACATATATGTTACGTTTTTTCCTGTACAAACATACTTATGACGAAGTTTAATTTATAAATTAGGCACAGTAAGAAATTAACAATGAGTAATAAAAAGAACAATTATAATGATATACTGCAGTAAAAATTATGTAAAAGGTGGCTTCTTTCTCTCTCCTCTTTATCTCTCAAAATACGTTATTGTACTGTACTCATCCTTCTGATGACACAATGCCTGTGTGATGAGATAAATGGAGTGAGGTGAATAATGTAGTCATTGTGATGTAGCATTAACCTTCTGTATTCCTGAATCTATGTAATCATCCCTCATGTACAGTAAATGAGTTGGTGTCCCTCCTCTTCGAGGACCCCTTGCTGAAGTCTTTGTATAGGCTCAATGTTTTCAGGGCACCACCTTGCCATCAGCTGTAACCTATTTCCTGTTTATGTCTTTCACCCACAGATGTAATACTGCTTCTACCTTAATTAAGCACGCATCACACACTATGACTGTAACTTTCATGGTTTGAGAAAAGACAGAAAAAAAAGCATGATTTTTTTTTCTTCTTCACAATTTCGTGGAAAAATTTGTTCTTACTGTAGTTTTTAGCAACCTCAGCATACATTTTTTTTTTTCTTATTAAACTAAGAACATTCACCTTTTCACTTAAAGGAAGTACTTGACAGCTTCTCCTTGGCATATCCAAATTGCCACAATTACTGCCTTGCATTTTGGGAACATTGTTAAATAAAATAAGGGTTACTAGAAAGAAGCACTGTGATACCATGATAGCTGATTTGATAACTGAGATGGTAACTATGTGACCAACAGACGAGTAGTGTAGGCAGCATGGGTAGTGTGGATAAAGATATGATTCATGTCTCAGGAGGGAGAAGGGAGGTGGTATAAGATTTTATCTTGTTTCTCAGAACAGCATGATATTTAAAACTTGTGAGTTGTTTATTTATGGAATTTACATTTAATATTTGTGGACTGTGGTTGTTGGGGGTGGGTAAGTGAAACTGGAAACTGAAACCACAGCTAAGGGGAGACCATTGTACAAATCACTCAAATCTCCATCAACCCTTTGATCCTTATCCTAGTAGAGGATTCCTGTTTTGGTAATTAATTTTAATTAATACAGAACACCTTGCCATTAGATTCATAAGATCTCCCCTTAAAAATATCAACAGCAGCAATAAAATCAGTAATCTTAAACACCAGCAGTTGGTTTTTACAAACAAATGTTTTGATTTGCATTCTCTGATGATTAGGGGCTCTGAGAATGTTTTCATATATTTGTTAGCCTTTAATTTATCTTCCTTAGAGAAGGAAAACATTCATGTCTCTTGCCCAATGATATATGAGATTGTTGGCTTTTTTGTTGGTTAATTTGAGTTCTCTGTAGATCCTAGTTATCAACCCTTTGTCCAATGTGCAATGTGCAAATATCTTTTCCCATTCTGAAGATTGTCTATTTGCTTTGGTTGTTGTCTCCTTAGTGGAACACAAGCTTATTGGGGACCAGCCCCAACTATACCATGAGTTCCCTGCCAGTGGCTGGGCGGGGAGGATGAGAAGATAAGGGAAAAATGAAAAGTTGAGATATGAAAGGAAAGGTTTTTTTTAGAGCAGCTGGGTTGGGTGACTGATCTCCTTGGAGCAAGCATGAGGACCGGTCGTAGCCTCTTGCTGTGGGCTAGCTCCGTTTTTATCACATACATTAAACAGGAAGTGAAGGGGAGGCTAAACCCTTATGTCATTCTTGTTGGGCTTCCATTTTCTAACCGAACTATTTCTTTTAACTAATTACCTTAATTACAATGAATTACTTCTTATTTTTATCACTCTACATTAATTTTTTTCTTTTTTTTGTCAGTTTCACTTTGTCACCCTTGGTAGAGTGCCCCATCTTAGCTCACAGCAACCTCAAATTCTTGGGTTCAAGTGATCCTCTTGCCTCAGCCTCTCAAGTAGCTGGGACTATAGGTGCCTGCCACAACAGTAGGTTATTTTTTCAGAGACGGGGGTCTTGCTCTTGTTCAGGCTTATCTCGGACTCATGAAATCAGGCAACCACTGGCCTCAGCCTCCGAAATGCTGGGATTACAGGCATGAGCTACCATGCCAAACCTTTTGATCCTAACGCAAGCAAAGCCTGGGGCAGGAATAAAGTTCAGGTGCAGGACTTCAAGACCAACACCAAGCACACAAATCCCAAAATCAGCAATTAAGCACCTGAGAAGCCTTGTGGGCAGTCCGGTATCATGCCATACTGAACAATGGGAGTCTCTCACCTCCCTGCAAGACTTTTTCTCTCCATGAGATTAAAGTGGTGGTGCTGATTTCAGAGTCTTACACCTTCTCTTGTAAATCTTCCCAGCCCCCTGTGCTCACTCCCTCCTAGAAAGCAGTCTCACCTTTGGGAGCCTGGCCTCTCAGTACCCAATGACCTTGGGGCCTAATCACTCTGCAGGAGGAGTGAAGTTCCAGCAAGATGGTCTGCTTGTCTTGACAGGCCAGACTTCAAACTGTCGCTCTTGCAACAGACTGAATTTATCAGCTTAGGTCCTATAGTCTGAATGTGTAGCTGTTTTTCTCTGATCCACTTCCCTCCTGTCTCTGTTCCCTTTGCCTATCATTTACAGTTATTTTCTCAGTTCAATTTCTAACCTACTTATACTAAACAATTAAATATTGGCCTTAATCATTATTTCTAGCAATGCAAGCACATCAAGATATGACTCTTCCCGTAAGTGCCCATATTTCCACCCTCAGAAGCTTTTCAGTTTAATTAAGTCCCATATATTTGTTGTAGGAATTATCACAGAAATATTCTTCATACAATCTTTCCCTAGCCTGATATTGTCCAGTGTTTTCCCCAAACTTTCATCGAGGATTTTTATTGTTTCATGTCTTAGATTTAAATCTTTTATCTATTTTGAATCAGTTTTTGCAGGTGTAAGGTACAGGTTCAGTTTCAGTCTTTTACATGTGGTTATCCGATTCTCCTAGCACTATTTATTGAATAGGGATTCTTTTCCTCAGTGTATACTCTCATTCAGTTTATCAAAGCTCAGGTGGCTGTGAGATGTCACCTAACCCCGATAAGATTAGCCCACATCACAAAGTCTCAAAGCTGCAGATGTTGACTTGGATGTGGAAGGAGTGGAACACTTTTACAGTGTTGGTGAAACTGCAAACTAATGCAGGCTCTTTGGAAAGAAGTATGGATTCTCTGATGCATGCCCACATGGGAGAAAAACTTATTTCAATTTAAGTTTCTGGGAGGGGTAATGAGGAAGCTGTTGGGGTGCTCTCACTAAATGGGCATGGGGTAGGGATTTTTGGCACAACTTTTGTGTGTGGGACATAACCACAAGAGGGACTCTATCTAACCAAATCAAATGTTTTGACCTGGTTGTTTATATGCATACATTAACCTAAAATAAATTTACTTTTCAAAAAAACAGACAAACAGACAAGCAAACAAACAAATGTAAAAACCCATATGTTTTGGAGCCTGATAAATATATTGTACAAAGTTAATTTATCCTCGTTTTTAGCTAGAAAACAAACCTAATCTCCACATTTTCCCTCATGTTTAGTTTAATATTAGAGGAACTAATACTGTTACAAATATCCTTATGATAATTAGAGAAACTTGTACTGTTTATTAGTTATATTGGGGTAGAAAGAACAGATTTTAATGCATTACTCCATCCCATCCAGATTTAAGTGAGAAAATTCTAATAATAAGCCCTCCCAATGTTTTATGACTCTAAATTCTTGAGCCAAAGTTTAGATTGTATTTAAACCCAATTCTCAATGGATCAGATGGTATTCAAGTCATACTTCTGTTTGAATGGAAAGAACCCGTGAGAAGAGAGCAGCACTGGTGAATGCGCCCAGTCTCCGGTGTAGCTTGCATTTTTACCTCTTGCTTAGTATTTTTTGTGTCTTCACTCTGATAACCTGATGATAATATTTGGAAAATAAACCCATGAATATTGATTTTCATGAATCGAACACCTAATGAGATTGGAGTTAGGTCTAGAGATGTTGGGCTGTATACGTTTAGCTGACTGAAGACAGATCGAAGTGGATCTAAAGTGAAACTAACAGGATAGAAAATTAGTGCCACATTTCTTTCAAAACTTTTAGCTTAAAGAAAATAACAGAATTCCTACCTCATTCCATTGTATATGTAAGTCACACCTACAAAGGAAAATGGCAATGTTGGTTTGTGTGTTTAATTATTTATTTCAGAGGCTTTAATTAGACTTGTATACGTCTCCGCACTGGTTCCCATGTAACTTCGTTGTTCACAGGAACGCCTTCTTTTTTAAAACAAACGGTTTTCATCATATGCCCTCTCATAGCAGCAAATCTTAGTTGGTGAGAAGCATGTATCAATCTGCCTTTCACTCATATGACATTTTCTCTTACAGACACCCTTAAGTTTTGTGCAACGATCAGCATCCATCAGGTTACACGTAGCTACAGTAAAAAAAGAGTAACTGAAATTACTGACCTCATATTTGAGCATACATTATTTCTGATTACATGAAGTATAATGTGTTCATCACAACAAGTTTAGAAAATACCAAAAGTATAAATACACTAAAAAATCTCCTACCCCTATGTATACAGCAAACTGAAACTTTTATTTTTTTATTTTTTATTTTTATTTTTGAGACAGAGCCTCAAGCTATCCCCCTGGGTAGAGTGCTGTGGCACCACAGCTCACAGCAACCTCCAGCTCCTGGGCTTAAGTGAGTCTCCTGCCTCAGCCTCCAAGTAGCTGGGACCACAGATGTCCGCCACAACTCCTGGCTATTTTTTGGTTGCAGCCGTCATTGTTGTTTTTGATGGGCCCGGGCTGGATTTGAACCCGCCACCTTAGGTGTATGTGGCTGGCGCCTTAGCCACCTGAGCCACAGGCACCGAGCCAAACTGAAACTTAAAAATTAATGTGTGATTAAAAATTATATGCTATGTACTATTCTTTTCAGCAAGGTGCAACATCTTTTAGAACTATACAACAATTTATTCAGTCTTAAAGTTTCAATATTTTAGAATTATTATAAAGGTATATTACATTCTTTAGTATTTACATGATATAGTCTTATGACAGTGATCACAGAGTTTCATTCTATACTTCTAACACTGCATTTTGGCCCCCAAATAAAATGATATTCATTGCAATTTTAATATCTTTAGGTTGAATGCTTTTCCTTCTTTTTGAAATTAATTTTTTATGTATTTTGTTGACTATGTTATTGGTATGATTATTTTATTTTAATCAATTCACAAGAATTTTAATATGTTATTCATAGTAACTTTTATCTGTCTTATTTGTCACAAGTTCTTTGTTGTTTTTCATTTTGTGAGTGGTGGTTTTTAGGCAATAACTATTTTGTTAGAAGACAAATACATATTTAATTTTAAATTTATAAATAATCTCATAATTTTTGACATCTAGGAGTGTATAGAAAAGTAAATTGTTATACATGAGATATTCTTGCTTAAAATCTTTTCACTATAATTTATTATAAGTATTTTTATATCATTTATAAATGTGAGATATAGCTCTCTTCATTTTCCTAAATGATTAAATAATGTTCCATACTATCTATTGAAACATTCTCTCCATGCCTGGAAATCACATTCCCTGTATTCTTAATTAATGTTATACTCTCAGTTCTCATAAACTCTAAGGCTCTTTCCTTTATCTATTATATTTTATGGATATTGCTGTATATTTTTGAAGCAGAAACAACTTACATTAAAAAGTGCATAAGATAAAAAGCATGTCATTTGTTATATTTCATTTCTTTACATATAAACTTGAAGATAAAATTAAAACAAACTTGCTGAAGACATTCCCAACAAATTCTTAGCCAACAGTATAATTAAACTTTAATGTAATTATACTGCCAGCGAGGCATTTGTGCACCCCACAATCACAATTCCTTCTTATTCCTTCATTTCCAAAAGAAATGATTATCTTGACTTATAATATTTTTTTTTGTTGCCTCATGTTAAAATTCTATATAAAGGTACAGTACAGTATGTATATATTGTTATGTCTGATTTTACAAACTCACGATTTGGTTTTTGAGATACGATCATATTTTGCATAACTGTGATCCTTCTATTTTCATTATCATATTGTCTGTGATATAAATATTCAACATTTTATTGTTAGAATTTATTATATTCTGAAGAATATTTAGATTATTGTCAGTTTTTAGATACTCTTGTGCTGGTCTTTTGGGGTACACACTCAGGCATTTCTGTTAGGCATATCCCTGAAGGTGGAATGTAATGTGTACATGTCCACATAGCTTCAACTCCAATAGAAAACATCTATTCAAATATAATTTCAAATCTCTGGTGCCAATTTACATTTCTAACACCTTTATATAGAAGTCAGAGACATCAAAAACATAACCAATGCTGAGTATTTTTAGCTTAGTGTTCCTGATGGGACTGCAATGACACCTCATATGTCTTATCTTTTCTCATATTTCATAATAAAATGTCAATTTTTTCCCTGATTTGGGGGGAAGTATGGCATCTTATGTTGCAAATATCTTTTTCCATGTAGAGATTGTCTTTTTATTCACTCACGTTTTTGATTTACAGATTTCCTAATTCTAATGTATTCAATGCTATGGTTTTCTACTGAGTAAAAAATAATACTCCTTGGGTGCCAAAATCACTAGTAAATTCTCAGGTATTAACTTGTATTGTTTTGCCTCCCAGGCTTGCATCCATAGGTTACTTAAAATTGGGTTTTGTCTGTTATAAGAGGCCAGAGTCAAATTTTACTTTGTTTCTCATATGGCCACATGAAGAAATCAACCTTCTTTTTTTTCTTTACTACCTCAAAAAATGTTTAATACTTCAATAACTCCACTTCAGTATAACTGATATTTTTATAATCCTATGCATTTTATTATGTGAATTTCATTATTTTTGATATTGCAACATTTATTTATTTATTTTGAATGGGATAGTTTATTCATTTCATTTTTTTAATTTTAGATTAATATGAGGGTACTAATAACTAGATTACATTGTTTGCATTAGTCAGGTAAAGTCCAAGGAGAGGGGAGGCGGGAGGGGGATTGATAAACTCTCACCGGCGTGAGGTGAGGGTATGCAGGGCACCTCCTGGACGAAGGGCTCAACCATCTCTTATGGTTTTAGGATTCTTTATTCTGCCCCTTTGCTACCTTTTTCCTTCCACTCTAACATTGTTTTGTGAAAGTCCTCCCATCTCCTTCTTCCTTTCAGAAGAATGTCTTGACTATTAGTTAGTGGTTTATGTTGCCATTTAAGTTTCAGAATTACTATGTCAGCTTTCACAAGACAAGAAAAGACAAAGCAAAGCAAAACAGAACAAACAACGCCTTTTAGGATGTGATTAAGATTACGTTGACTCTGTAAATCGTTTTGAGAACTGTTGCATTGAGAGATTTACAGGAACAAATCCTTCAATGCATTCATACGGCATAACCCTCCTTGAATTTAGGTCTTCTTTAATCTCTCAACAGTAATTTTTAGCTCTCTGTGTAGAGATCTTTAAAAAAATCTTTTAGAGCATTCCTTTGTATTTGATATTTCAATGCTATTCTAAGTATTGCTGGATTTATAATATAATTTTTCTAGGTATTAATGTATAGAAAGATAACTTATTTTTATATTTATTTTGTAGTCAACAATGATGCTAAGCTGATTCGTTAGTTCTTTTAATTTATCTTAGGATCCCTTTTCTTTTTCTTCATATACTATCAGGGTAATTGAATAATGTTGGCCATTTTCTTCTATTAGATCTTTAAGAAACCTACAACTCATTCTAAACACACTTAGACTCCACTGCAATATTTATTGACATTAATGATACAAGGCTCTCATCATATTTCTAATATCAAAGGGAAAATTTTAACAATTCCATCATATAATGGGATGTTTACTGTATAGGTTTTTGAAGATAAACTTTATTAGATGCAAGAACTTAATTCTATTTATTGTCAGATTGCTGAGACTTTTAAAAATTCATGAATTTTATAAAAAATTATCTGACTTGATCATATAAACCTTCCTCTCTAACCTGTTCATAAAGTAACATTGATTTTAGAATATTCACTTTGCAATCCAGGAATTTTACTGGGCTTTAACTCTAGGTGTTTTTAAAAGGAATTTTGCATCTATATCAATAAATGAGGCTCACTTTTAATTTCCTTTCTTATAATGTCCTTATGAGTTTTAATAACAGGTACTGCTGGTCTCATAAAATGAGTTAGAAGCATCCTCTTGTTTACTGCTTTCTGGAAAAGTTTGTGTATAACTGGCTGTACTACTTTCCCAAATGTTTAGAATTCACCAGTGATGCCATTTGGGCTTGACAGTGTCTTTGTATAAAGATTCATTATTATGAATTCTATTCCCTTCATGAATTTAGACACATGTATATTTTCTATTTCTTTTTGTTGTTGTTGTTGTTGCCATTCTGATTCATTATGTTACAGTTTTTCAGAAATTATCCAATCCATGTAAATCTGGAAACATGTTACCATAAAGTTGTTCACAACATCCTTATATGATCATTTTAATATCTGTAGCATGCATATATGATATTATCACTGAAAAAGCAGATTTTTGCCTTCACGCCTTTTTCTTTACAGTTTTGTTCATGAGCCATTAGTTTTATTCATCTTTTCAAAAAGCAAAATATGCACTCTTCAATTTTCTCTAGCGTCTCTTTTCTCATTATTAGATGGTTGTTGACTGACAAAGAGTGATGTATGCCTCAGTATGTTTCCTAATCCTATTTGAGACCTCCACCTTTCCAGGCCTTTTCATTATTAATAATAACATAATGACAGCAACAACTATCATAGCACCTAAATTGGCAGGCTGATTTTTAATGTATAGTTTGTATTATACTCTGTAATATATTTCACCAGGTTCTAACTATAGTCTTTTGAGGTGCATGTAACTATTGGGCATGACATTTTATGTCAGATTTTTAACTTTTAAAAGAATGTGATCATTAATGATTGTGCTTCCATTTTTTTTGTTTGTTTGTTTTCTGTTAAGGACCCTGACAAATCGGTTAAATTCTGAGTGGCAATATTCACCCATATGTTCAATAATGTGCTAACAACAAAATCTAGATCTTCTGAGTTTGAATCCAGGTACATTTCTGATAAATGATGCACTGCTTCAACTTCCAACTTTCTAGGGCCAAATTCAAACACATGATGTATAGGCATAAATTTACATCTTTACTGTTAGAGGGTCCAGATTGCCTCAGTGGCTATACCCCCCAAGAATATAGGATAATGGCCCCCAAGGGCTTCATTGCTCTATACTTTCCACTATTTATATTTAATTGATTCATAAGGGTGTTCCTTCATTCCTTTACTAACTACTGAGTAATTCAGCATGGGTGTTGGTGTTATGACTCCTTTACTTAGCCTTGTATTCCCATTGCCCCCGCAGTCCAGCATATTGTCAAACTACGTCTTGGATCATCTTACAGCTTTTGTTATTGATGTCCCACAAGGTATATCCTGCTGTCTGCAGTTCATTTCTCTCCCTGGGATCTGATTGCTATCATCTTCACTTCTGAATCTTATAAATAAATTTAGTAAATTATGTTTTTTAATCATTTAAGTATCAGAAAAGAAAACTCAAAGTCTAGAAAGGATGAAGGTTAATTTTTTTTTGAAGGTTAATTTTTTCATCTGATTTTATCTGCCTATTAATTTTGAAAAGGAGGTACAGAAAGCATCTTAGTGTCATAATACACACAAAGAGGAAAAAAAATTCCACACAATCACGACACTACTTTAATTGGTAAGATTATACTGAGAACCTGTATTTTGCAATTAATAATCTAGTATGTCTATTTCTAGCCAGAAGCTCTACATTACCAACATACCAGAAATGTCTATTTTACCTTGTAGAATGAAGGTCACATAACACAGAAAATGGAAGACACAGTAAAAGATCTTCATTCTGTAGAAAGAAGCTGTTGAAAAATTTGGCGACAGAATTTAGAGACTATAGCCCTTTCCAAAAAGTTAAGAGGCATTACCTATTTATAGCTTTTTAATGGAAGAGAAACTCTATCCAGAAATTGTTTTAATTTTGTGTGCTTGTTTCTGCTCCAATGACCAGGGCTGTGGGAAGAATTACTGAAATTGAAAACACTTGAAGATAACCGAGCTTTTGGGTGAAATCTCGATGTAAATGACAGTTGTAAACATGGCATCTTCGTATGGGGGGGGATCAGTTAATCATCAATAACAATGAGCGTGCGTGGAGTGAGTTCAAGGAAAATATTAGTTTACCGTTTCAGACATAAAACAACTAAACCTTTTCTATTAAACAACAACTGCAAAATATATTGTAGTCACGAATATGTTGTGTATATTTACAGTTTTTGGCTGGGGCTGGGTTTGAACCTGCCACCTTCGTTATATGGGGCTGTCGCTCTACTCCTTTGAGCCACAGGCACCACCCTATGATGTGTAAATTTGTTAATACGTGTCTATATTTAAAATCCTTAACTATATCCAGTTGTTCCATTAATTTCTCCCAAATTATTCATTTATGAGGTCCAAAAATTATACTCCATTTTTGTTGCTAATTTTCCACACTTTAAAATTGGAATTAATTAATTTTTTTTTAGTGACAGGATTTCATTCTGTTCCCTAAGCTGGAGTGCTGTGATATGATGTAACTCATTGAAACCTTGGCCTCCTGGGCTCAAGCAATCTTCCCATCTCAGCCTCCCAAGTAGCTAAAACTGTTGGCATGTGTCACCACACCTGGCTTATGTATGTATACATGTATGTATGTATTCATTTAGCTATTTGTTGTTTGGGGGTTTTTTGGTTTTGTTTTATTTTGTTTAAGAGACACAGAGAAATCTCTTTGTATTGCCCAGGCTGGTCTAGAACATCTGCCCTCAAGCAATCCTCCAGCCTGGACCTTATCCCTAATTTTTATTATTCTTTTTTTCAGATGCAACTTAAATATTCATGAAACTCTCCCTTTTTTTCTAGCAAAGCCCAGTCAGTCTTCACCTATTTTAGAAATTTTATTACACAATAAATAAAGAGACTTTGGAATGAATGGCAGTCATTTCCCACCTCAATCTTCCTAGTTTTAGGCCTTGTGGTAATTATTAACATAAGAATTATCTTATGGAAAGTATAGATTTGCACGACTCATCCTCTTTCTCGTGCTATTGTTATTAAATATTTGGAAGTTATATAAACTTTTGGAAAGTCTTATAAGTTATGTTCAGACACTTAAACACCAGCATTCTCCCCAACATAATCATAAACTGACAATATCAGCCCCTTGCCAGTAACTGCAGTATTGGTCCTCATCTCATTTATTGTTACACGTTTCCTTTTTTCTGGCCTTGGATAAGACGTGTAGATAAGCTTTGTGTTTAACTAGAACTGAATAATCTCTGCCTTATTTTTGAAGATTATAATACAGCAAGAAGTATAGATTATGTTACCTTTTTATGTGTGTCTAATATCATTTGTGCTAATCAAAGAGAAATGTTCTTGGTTTAAAGGTCAAATGAATTATTAATATTATTACTACTATTATTTTTTTTATTACTATTTCTTTTCTTTCTTCTGAAGTGTTTTTCAAGTATTTTTTAAAATTGTTTCCTATTTGATTATCACATTATTGAAAAGTATTTTTTTCTTACAGGTTTTGTTGCACATATAAACAAAAATAAAAAGGAACTTGCCCTATCTTCAAGTTCGTCTGAGTATCATGGGCTATTCCTGAAATGGCTTCATTCTGAGATGTTTTTGAACCTATCCTCATGCATTCAATTTTCTGTTCTCATGTCTTTTTCTTGCCTTTTCCCCCCATCCAGAAATGTTTTCAGTAAAGTTTAAAAACATGAGAATTTCCTTGCTAAAAAGTATTTTTATTCTGTCATCACATTTCATTATTTGGATGTAAAATCTCAATTCAAAATCACATTCTTTCAGAACTCTGAAGTTCTGTAACTTATAGCTTTCAGTCTTCCCGATGAACGATCAAATGCTGGGCAAGCGCCATTTAAATTATTTGAGTTGGTGTGTCTCTTGACACTTTTGGGACATTAGTTTTAGGATTCAGACACTCAAATTTTAAGATTCATAGATTGCCTGGTGTGCATTTCTTTTGCATAGGTTATCTATCTGTCATGGGTGAGCTCACGTCTTTCTTCAGATCTGAGAAATGTTTTCTCTTTCTATATAATTTTTTCTCTTATAAAGTCCTTCCCTCCATATTTGTGTATTTATTTTTTCTCTTTGGGGGTTTATTTTAGTCAAATGAAGGTGATGCTAGCCTTCTAAAATAATATGGGAACTGTTCTTTTTGTTGTTGTTGTAGTTTTATTTTTTTTTTTGGCCTTGGCTGGGTTTGAACCCACCACCTGCAGCATATGGAGCCAGTGCCCGACTCCTTTGAGCCACAGGTGCCACCCAGGAACTGTTCTTTTTTGTTCTATTTTATAGATGTGTTTTTTCATAACGAGTATGATTTCATTATTAAATATTTGGTAAAATTCAACAGGGACGCTATCTGTACCTAGAATTTTCTAAAAGCTTTCAATGTGAGTTACTTTTACAATATACAGAGCATTATTTAAGTTGTAAATCTCTCCTTGAGATTTACAAGAGTTTATGTCAGTTGAGGATATTTTCCATTTTATATCAGATCTCAAAGTATTGAAATAATCTTGTTTGTTCTATTCCCTAACTGTTCTTTCAATATCTATTATCTATTGCATCCTGAGTGATTTCTCCAATTTCATACCCGATATTTACAACATATGTTCTCTCTCTTTCTCCCTCTCTCTCAACTCTATCTGGCTAACAGTTTCTAAAAGACAATTTTAAGCTGCAAAAAGTCAGCTTTTGTTTTCATCGTTTTTTTTCCTAATATTTGACAGTTTTCTATTAATCTATTTTTAGTTTTATTATTTCTTAAGAGTCTTATTTGACATGCATAACTTAATAAAATTGAGTTTAATATTTACTCTTCTTTTTCCAGCTTTTGAAGCGGAAGCCTAAGTCATTGATTTGAGACACTTTTTATTTTCTAATACAACCATTTTTAAATACTGGTTACTTGTGGTCTTGAGCTTCCTCTGTCCCCGTCTCTGTCTCTGAATCCTTCTCTCTGTTCCTCCCTGTTTTCCTCATTCTCTCTCTCTCTCTACTACTTACACTGGGAGAAGCAAGGCACTATGTTGTAGAATCCGTATGGAGCATCCCCTATGATGTAATGACAATCTGAGGCTATTTGACAACTTGTGGAAAGCTGGACTCTCTAAGTCAAATAGTTCCTGAAAACAAGCCTGCCAAGAAGGAGATCTTCGACTCAGTTGAATCTTCAGATGACAGCAGCACAGTGCATCTGTTTGAATGAAACCTCATCAGACCAGGACACAGAGACATTAAGCTAAGCTGATGCATAGAAGCTGTGAGGAAATAAATGTTTGATGCTCTTACCTACAGGGGTCATTTTTTCATGCGGTTATGGGTACATAATACAATATCCTATTTTATAATATCTGGCTTTTCTTGCCATGTTCACAATGTTTGTATGTGTATATAATGAAATTATAATACGATTGTGGTTCAACCTGCCATCTTGCTTTTGTTTTCTGCTTATTTTTCTTGCCTTTATTTTTTTCCTTCTCTTCTACTCAATGGATAATTTTATGCCACAGGTTATCTACTTCATCGACTATAAAAAATATAAAATAGATAGATAGATGTATACGTTTATTTTTCTTTGTAGTTTATGTATATGTTTTAAAATATAGATCTGTAACTTTTACATATAATGTAAGAAACTTATACTGTTGTAATTCTATTTCCTCCTTCCTATACCTTTGGCTATTATTAATTTTGCTTTAAGCAATCAATTATGTTCTATAAAGATTAAAAATTGAGGAAAAGGATCTCTCACATTTATCCACACATTTGCCACTTTCAACTCAATTGTTTCCTTTGTATAAATCTAAATTTCTATCTTGTCCACTTTTCTTGGAAAAAATTTATTTAAAATTTCTTGAAGAGCTTATTGTTGGCAATGTGTTATTTTAGCTTTTTTTTTCTATACTTGAAAAAATCTTTATTTTGGCTTCTTTCACACAAGTTTTTCACTAAGGAGAATTTGAGGTTGGCAGAATGTTTTGGTTTGTAAAGCTACTTATACGTTGCTTTCTGGCATGCATAATTTCTGACAGAAGTTTAACTGTATCATTCTTTATCATAAGACCATTATTAAGATGTCATTCAAATACCAAAACATTTTGCCTGCGTAATGTGTACAATTTAATAGTTCTTACTATATTCACTGAGTTTTGTAATGCGGAAACCGGGGGAAATTTTCCTTTTTACACTCTGAATTTTGACTGAAAATCAACTGAAAAGAGGCACATTAAAAGGAGAAAAAGGATAAAAGTTTATTAATGTGAACGTGGGGAAAATCACAGTGATTACCCCACATGAGGTACAGAAAGTTATATACTCTTCTTCTTAGAGGAAAGGCAAGTAGGAAAGGTCGGATGATTTCAGGGAGGCAGTCAGTGATTTTCAGGGGAATTCAACGTAGCTAAAGGACATACATTACCCTAGGACAGAGTCTTTCAGGTTCACAGAGGAGACGGTGGTTTGCGACCAAAGTCTATACAAGGTGTTTCTACAGATTTCACCTTTTCTCCCTGCCACGTGAGCTCAGTTAAATAAAACTCCAGGAGGAAACCGGAGGTAACTGTTTTCCTCTTTGGTGGGTCTGGCCTTCAGACAGATAAGGGACCGTCAGAGAACAACTTTATCTTGTGCTTAGGGAGAGACAGAGGATTGACAGACAACGTGGCAGGTTGCAGAGGAAGACGGCCAGAGAGACTTTGAGGCTTCTTTTTCAGTTCAGCAGGCAAAAGCCCTCATTGTTTGGAATACTAGCTTGTGAGCCCTAAGAGTAGCCATCGCCATAATACATTTTAGAATGTTTTCATTACACTGTACAGAAAGAAAAATTTCTCACCCCTCACTAGATTCAAGGCTGAGATCTCTGTAATAAAAAGGGTCTTTTTACTTGGGTAGGACCTTACTCTGTCACATTTTATTCTCTTTTTAGTTTTATTTGTTCTCTCTTACAATTATTTAATCATGTGCTTCTATTTTGTGATTGAAATGCATGTAACTTGCCATTCAAGAAACAAATATATTTATCTGGAAATTATGGGAACGTGCATAAGTCATGATTGATGGCTGATATCTCAAAGATCATATGGAAATAAGTAAGCTTCTTCATAAGGAAAGTAAATAGGGCAGAGGTGAAGGAAAGTAGTAATGATCAAAGACTTCTGTAAAGTAAGTGGAGAGCAACTTTAATGAGGAAGATTACTGTTGGCGCTCATTCTTAATTTCCCTTTTAGCATTCCAACTTTAAACTCACTAGCCAGGATGTAACTGTATGATCCAGAGGGCCAGAGGCCAACCACTTAGAGAGCAAAACTTATTCTTTGTTAGTAATATTGTTATGTTGTGAATTTACTTAGTGCATTACGGTTAGGATTTACAGTTGAAGTCCTGGTTCTTTCAGCAACTGGCTTGATGTATTCCCGCACCACACAGCAGGGCTCGGTATCGCAGTAAGTATATACGTATTCCCAGGTGTTGCATTCAGCCTTACAAGCACCACGTACAAGACGGCATTCTCTTTTTCTCGCCATGATGCCTATTGTTTTATCCTGTAGAACTAGGAAAGAGTAGCTATAATCATACATCCAGGTTTAGTCCCCACAGATAAATAAACTCTTTCAAGTGTAGAGTTAGACCATCTTCTTTCTGAAGCCATACCCAGGCAACTCTGCTGTGATCTGTCCTCCTCTAAGTTACTACAATATAAATATTTACTCAACCATATTTACTTTGCCAGTAGCTTTAACTTTTAATAAATTGAACATTCTTAGATATTTAGTGTATGCTCCCTCAAGGGTAAAGGGGAAAGGAAATGTAAGCAATAGTCTATATGTTTTGTGTTCTAAATAACCATCCCTATTCAACCACCCTTCCCCACTCATTATTGTAAAAAGCTTAATTTTGATAAGAACTGCACTATCGATGCATAAAATCACATTTCAAAAGAGCAGGTAGTAGAAAGCTTCTCATAATTCATATTCTGATCACACAAACCAACAAAATAGGGTAAGTTTAATTTAACATCTTGAGAAAATGTTTTTCTCATTTTTTTCTCAACTATCAGTTCTACACATTCCTTCTTCCATGAAAATCTGAAATGAATTTCATTATCAGATGTTCATATGGTGCTTCTTAACAATATATATTTTTTCCGAGTAAAGCATCTACCAAAAACATTTTGCCCTTCCCATCTTTTCTATATTAACAAATATTACCTGATGGACCACAAGACACAGAGAAGACAAAGATCAGGAAAATACAAAGTGTCTTCATTGTTGATGTAAGATTGAGACAGAGCTCAAAATGCTTGAGTTGTGCTATCCTTTGGGAAAAGAAAGACTTCTGTTTTTATAGCCTTCTCAAAGTAATTACAATTCTGATTAATGTTCCCTTTTCAGACTGAGAACATATTCATGTAAATATTGTGAAACAGCAAGCAAGTATAATAGAAAACTTAGTTCTGTTATGATCTCGATAAGGCAAACATGAACTCATTTTTGGTTATATAAAAAAATAGTGGGGTTCAGGTACTCTTGATTACCAATTAATTGAAAGTACATGATCAGTATCATTTTTATTTTCAGCCCCATGCATTTTTAAGCATGCATTACCTGTCAGGCACTGTTCCAAGCACTTTATATGGATTAATTTGTTTAATTCTCATGACAGGTTCTATAATATAAGAAGTTACTTTCCAATTGGGAAAGCTGTGGTACAGAGAGGCTATGGAATTGTCCGAAAATTATATACATAATTATTGACAGCACTGAAATTGAATCTCAAATGTGATGTCAGAGCTCAGTCTCCTCCCTGTTGGTGCTCACAGCTGAGTAGTGGGTTCCATCATGTGTGGAGATCCTCCATATGCCAGACGTGAGCCAGATACCATTTCTGGAATTCTCTTTTTTTTTTTTTTTTTTTGCACAAACAGAGAATATTTCTATAACAGTTTTGGAGCTGTTACATTAAAAATGATTATAGTTACACTCTCAGGATAGTATCATTCTTTACATATGATATAATGATTCGGTCATGAGATTATCTCATTTATAGGGGAAATCTGTATTTTAAGAATCTCAAGAGCACTGGATCTAGATAGAAAAGATTAATCTTGAGGTTTGACTTTTGGTTTACTGGCTATGGATTTGAGATAAATATAAATTAGAATTCTCTGCTTGAAAGCTGGATTTGTAGGAACAGGTGTATTTAGAGTTTTATTGCAATGTGAAAAATGATTATTAAACAACTGACACACGAACTTAAATAATTTGGCTTATCTTTGCAAGCTCAGAGCAAGTTCTTAAAATCTAAAAGGATGTATCCTTGTAAGTTAAAGATTTATGTTCTAATTCTTCTCATTGAAGAAAAATTGTAAGATTATTCTATACCCTGAGTTTTAAAAACAGCAATCCACTCTTCTTGCTATTTCTATACTTCATTCCTCACTCAAAAGGTGCCTATGCAAACTATGGATGATTAATTTTCTCAATCTTCTCTCTAAAACACACACAAAACATGAGAATGGCCTTTAAACTGCTGGAAATTTAATAAGACTAATTATTTATAAGGAAAATAAGTAAGAAAAGTGTGACAAATACAAAAGAAATTGAAAGGCCAGGCATTATTATAGTGATGGATTGGATAAGAGGACAACCTAGGACAAAAGGGCCCATTTTTGCTTAAGTGCACCCATGTTCGTTTCATCAGTCAAATACGCCACTTCTATGAAGTTGGCACACATAACTGGTTGCATGACAACCAAGTTAATTTAGTTATGTATTCCTTACAAAAGGCTATCTGAGGTCTTAACTTGAGAGAAACCCAGACTCCAGACATTTATTAATAAAAAATTAATGTTTTTTTTAAAAGACAAAGGTATGGAAAATAGAATGAGATTGGGATTAGGGATAGTGTTTAAAGAAAGGAAGAAAAGACACAGAGAAGAAAATTTTAAAACAGATTAGATAATTAATTGGCTTTAGACGTATAAATCAAAAAGTTAGGTGAGTGAGCCTTTATAATTCAATTAACTTGGCTCAGAAAGGTAAGGTTTGAGATTTTAAAAAAGTTTTAATTTTCAGGGTGGTGCCTGTGGCTCAAGGAGTAGGGCGCCAGCCCCATATACTCGGGGTGGTGGGTTCAAGCCTGGCCCTGGCCAAAAAAAAAAAAAAAAAAAAAGTTTTAATTTTCTTCCTATGTTGCCAGATGATCAGAGCTAACAATCCTATCATTCAGAGCTACAGGTAAAGACTTTGGGGAGTTAAGTTAGGGATGCTGGGCTGAGATATGCCTACAAAGGGAGCCTTTTCAGGCTAAGGCTTGGTTATTAATAACACAAGTAAAGGACATGACGGACACCGAGAAGAGAGATGATCAGAAGGATATGCAACCTAATGCTATTGTATTGTTAAGTGTTGCCCATCAAAAATTTGATATTTTCTACAACTCCTCTTCATAAAGCCTTATTTTGTCAGGCAATGGGTCTCAGCTTTCCCATTCCAGGAATAACAGTATAAACTAACATTAGGGTCTCTTTTCATAGCAAAAACCATCATGTCCTTTCTATTCTTTGCTCTTCACTACCAGATGCCAGGCATGATTTCACCACTTCCCCCAACCCCTAAAAAAGAACCCAACTTAAATTTATATTTAAATTGACTGATGGCTGAAAAAAACTTAAGATTGAAGTAAAAGAACTTATATGGGGATAATTCTATATAACAGTGATACAGATTGATATTTTGGGAAATTTTAAAATTGAAAAGAATCATGAGACCCTTACAGATGAGGAGGGATGAATTAGATTACTGAGAAAGCAAAAGATGGCATAGGTGCCAACAGGTGGATCTTTGGCCACGATTTCTACTTCTTTTCATGATAACAAACTCTTTGACAAGCTCTGCTATTGAGTGTTTATATATTTAGAAGCATGAACCTGAGACTAAGTCTATGTCATGCCTGATTCTGGACCATCTTATAATGTCTATTAAATGCTTTTAGAGTGCAAAGCATTCTTCTAAATACATAGGTTAAACTTCATAAAAACCCCAGCTGATAGGTGTAATATTTAACCTATTTTCCATACAAAGAAATAGACACAAAGAGATTTATTTACCCTAAATCAATCAGTTTGCTGGTAAATGTTAAAACTGGGATTAACACAGTCCATCGGGAGACTCCTCATTCTTAACCATGGTTACTACATACCTAAATCAGCCGGAGTAATTGTCTTAGAGTTGGAAGGGAACTTATATAATGATAAAACGTGGTTTCCAAGATAAAAGGAATATTACTGTTCATTTGTTCCCACTCTTTATTTTTATAGCTGAGGGGCACGTTTGAAAATGTTAAAGAGAAATTGCTGTTAGAAATTTCTGTTTTCAGGAGAATCTAGAGGAACCTTTGAGAGACTAGTGGGCCCTTACTTTTATTTTCATCCCAATAAAGATCTTTTCTAATCTAGCTTGAGTTTTCCTTGATATCCCAAGGAATGGAGGAAGCAATTGCCTCTAACATGAGGTCATACAAGTCAAAAGTTATTTGTAAGAACTAAAACCAAACTAAAGAATTATCAACTCTACACTCATATCACTTTATAAGTGCTCTCCAGACCCTAAGAAATGAAGAAACAAGATTTTAAAATTATTTCCAAGATCCCTTTAATACAATTCCCTGCTTCTGATACCACATATTCTTGATAGGTTATCTCCCCGGGTAGCCCTTGACTAGTTTGGCTATTTAAGACAAAGAATGAACCTATCTTGACCTTAGAAAGCCCTGGATTTGAATCTCCAGCATGTTTTACTATCTGGTTGATCTTTCTGAAGCTCATTTTTCTTATCTGTAAAATGACAATTGTAACATCAAACCTACTGGGTTGTATTACATATTAAGATTATGCATGGACCTGACAAAAAGGTATTAATTTTTAAAAAATTACTGAGTTCTTACTGTATGTTGGCACTATTTAAGACTCTAGGATAGAGTAGTAAACAACAAAAACATGGTCACAGTCTTTGTGAAACTTAAATGAATTGCATGATAATCAGATAAACAAGTAAATTACTTCAGATAAGAATTTCTCAGCATAAAATTCAACAGGGTGTTAGAAAAGAGAGTGACTACTGAGAAATGCATTATAATAAGTGAGCAAGAATGATCACCACCATCCTGAGAAGCTGATGGCCAAGAAAGGGTGTCTCCTGCATGCAGTGAGACCAAGTTAAATGTTTCCGATTGCATAATGTGTGTGAAGAACAACAATCAAGCCAGTGAAATTATGTTAGTGATCAGAGGGGCCAAGTAGTAGGACTGAGGTCAGGGTATAACAGGGAATGGGTCCCAAGGACATTTTAGTCAACAGTGGAGTCATGGAGTTTATTATAAGCTTAAGGGATACCATTTGAGGGTCATTAGTTCACTATGGCTTCTAGTTGGATAACTTTTGGGAGAGGACTAGAAGCAAAGTTAGGGAGGAAGGTAATTTTGGAGACTACTGTAGCATCCTATGAGGAAGGAGATGATGGCTTGCATAAGGTGTGCCTCTGAGCTGATGATCCATTTCTCTCCTTGCTCTTTCTTATTCTCCCTGTGTCTTTGCTAGGTAACTTCTCATGGTGCACCTGCCCAAACTTCTACCTTGTGGATCTGACCACAAATGAGGAGAGGCTGTCCCCAACGTTCTGATTCATTGTCAGATCATTGGTCATTGATATGTATCTGGCATTCCCTCCTGCCTTCCGGTCAGCCTTTGTTATATTCTCTGTGCCTCGTCAAGGTACAATTTCATAATAGGACTTAGCTACATGGGAGTTTAGAGAAGCGGATTTTTCTTTTATCTCATGTTTCATGTGCACTTTAGGGAACACTTGCATCCCTCAACTATCTCGCTGTCTAACACAGGAATGAAACAGAAGCTCCCAGGAGGAAATGTCCCATTGGTTGAGAGATGGCTAAATCTGAGAGAGAAAAATTGTGAAAATAAATGCTCAAGAGAGAATGAGAAAGGAAGAGGAAAGGAGAGAGGAAGAAAAGAAGAGACAGAGATGGATTAATAGACGGATGCAGCTCTGGTGTGTCATTAAGACAGTGTTTGCTAAACTCGGACGTGCATGTGACTCGTCTGGGTTCCTGTCCAAATGCAGCTGCTAGTTCCTGTATCTGTATGTCTGGGGCGGGGCAGAGATGCTTGATTTCTTATAAACTCCCACTAGTGTAAAATCTTCTGCTCTGTGAAGCACCCTTTGTGTAGTGAAGCCATCATCTAAGCAGGT